TGGCTTAGGCGAAAGTCGAGGGGGGGGAGGGTTTTGAACCCGGCATCGAAGCGCGCCACTTGTCACTACACCACCCCGCGCCAATGAATATCCGCCATGAACTAGTGAACAGATGAAAATACACTTCCGAACCTTTCTGACCGTGCAAGCACATCTACCTGCACGAAGGAATACCCTTTCTAGAAGTTGCACCTCTCCAATAGCCTGGTGTCCAATGAACTATTTCCTGGTATCCTTGGCAAAACCATGCGTTTTAGATTTTCTGGCGTCGGAGGTGCTGATTTTTCGGGCCGTGGGGGAGTGATTTTTCTATGATCACAACGGGGGATTTTTTCGAATAGCAGGCCTAGGGATAAAATGAAAGTTTTGCTGGAAAGTAGAAAGCTTTCTGCTTCCGGCACAGTTCTTTTTTTACGAAAGGCCGTGTATGAAGCTTGCCATGGATGTCCAAAGCGTAGCGACTTGTGGTTGGCCCCCCATGATCACGCAAGGGTCACAACGGGGAAAATTTCTAGAAAAGAAATGTTTTTGAAATCGCTCAAACTCAGGTAACAAGAGCCAACCTAGCTCCACTCATTCCCACTTTCCCCTCTCCGAGAGCTTTACTTTCAACGAAGTTATGGGTGTTCAAAAGAGGGGTACTTTTCGAGTGTTTGGCTTGAAATTGGCTCCAGGTCGTAAAATAGCGCGCACCAATGCGCTTGTATTAGCGCGTGTATTAGGGCTCGCGTGCGGATGACCGCGAACAACTAATATTCAAAAACTAATGCATAGTTCCTAGTACTTCTGGTGAGTTTTTTGTCGTTTGTTTGGTATTTTAGATCTCTTTTTTGTTTTCTAGTAGTTTTTTTAGGTTGTATTGTTGTAGTATTTGGCATTATCGAACTACTCCCTACCCCAGTCTGCCGAAATCAGGCCAATTTTTTATCGATTTTTTTTCTAGAGGGGCAGATTTGGATGGAAATTTGTTACAGTGGTGCTTCGACCTCCCCCCCCACCCGCTTCGCCCCCGCGCCACAGGCGCCGGGGCCAAAATACCCTAAATCACCAAAATCGATGAAAACTTGTATACGGGGGTTATTTGACATCCTGATTACGAATATGATATTTATTCTTGGCGCCAGCGCTAACGTAGGACACTATGGTCATCTGCGCTTTGCTAAGACTGAGCCTGACCTGAAGGAAATCTTCTTCAGCCTCAGCAGAGCGCCAAATAGCATTGGTATGGAGAAATGATGTCACACTATTTTTGGCGTAGGAATAGTTCAATCGCGCCCAGTTCTCTTTATTGTCATTTTCTTCGTCCCTTTTGCGCTTCTTTTCATTTGTACCCTCGTGACAGGGGGAGGGGTCGTATTAAGACCCTAATTCTGGGGGGGGGGGGAGCGGGAAATGATCACAATGCGATGGCGTTCCTGTTTGTGGTGCACATGTATACTACTCCTACTCAAAATCGTGCTGGTTATCGAATGCGATATGGCCTACACATTGAATTGCAGAGGTCAGCCAGTGTACAAGTCAGTGTTTTTATCCCCCGACACGAATCTCGTAAAAGGCCTAGGTGACCAGGGCAGCAGTCGGGCACGCTTGTACAAAGCCTCTCACTGCCATTGCACCACTTGGCTACTGGCTCTGTAGCACCTTCGCTCACACATGGGACCTCGCCTGTGAAACTCTTGTCGAGATTTTATCTTAGATGTTACTCAAAATAGGGCTGGCTTTGGATGACGTTTAGCAGTTTTTTAACAACAACTCTTGTTCTTCGCAGCATTGTCTTCCGTTTCCTGTATAATCCCTGAATCCAGAGGGAAGCTATGACCGTTCTAAAAAAAGTTGCAATTTTAACTACTGCAATAGAGCAATTCATGCTCTAGCGGTGTACATGCATTACAGACGAGGCATGGATTTCATACGAACCGTTCTGGCAGAAGGGCCATACCGAGACCCACCTTTTAGGAAAAGGGTCGTAATTACACTGTCAATCCCTACATCGTTGTGGTATGCCCCACTCGATAAATGATGAAGAAGTGGAAAAGTTTGCGTTGTAGAGAGGTCTGACTGGGAATGATATGATATTCATTAAATTTGAATCAATTAATTCACTAAGCCTACCTGCTGGCGTTCCGTGATCGAGATGAGATCCAAATGGAGTCTGACCGCCACCGTACCTTCCTACTCCGGAAACCGGACTATATCCACTTGGAGGACCTGGTTCACCATGAGAACCTGAAATATGAATATTCTTGCCTGGCTTTATATATCTAAAAATGAAGCGCAACATTTATGGTTACCAAATGGTCCCTTTCCATGAGAGCCTACTCCAAATGGGCTCAAAGCATCCGCCCTGGAACCACGACCACTACCTGCACCACCCAATTCGTTACCGTAACCTGCTTCGCTTTCAGGACGAGCTGCAAAACAACAAGTAGAAAGAGTAAACAGTTCAACTTGCGATCCCATGCTCGCGGTAGCGCGCACCATAAATGTCCGATGGTGTACGAAAGTCGTGGAGTAAGCAGCTCAACTGGAACGTGATGCGTTTTGGAAGTTGTAAGTGAGCGAGTTGTAGCGCTTACCACTATTGCAAAGGGGTTATTCTGAACAGTACTCACGTGCTGCTTGTTTCGGTATCACTGTAACTGTCTTTGACTTTAATGCATGCAGATTGAGCAAGACCATACATTTTGACTCATTGTCAGAGGTCACTCCATACTTCAGAGAATCGAGACAGCAAACTGTGACTTGCGGACAGGGGGAACCACTACCACATCCGTGTCAGAGTCCGGTTCGTATTGTGATTCAGTGTGGATACACAGAACTTTAGTAACCAGTCTGCCGGCCAGCTGACACCGCCGCTCCTCATCTGTTTCGCGGCCCGCCCTGGTAGGCCAGCACAGTTTTGATGCGCGATCCTCCCTCCGTTGTGTAAAAGTTTTAACTAATGCCGGGCGTTCTCCTCATCTTTACACATTCTCAATGATCCATATCACTAACATTACACACTTCACTTTTTACTAATACCGTTCATGTAATATAGGTAAGGAATATTGATTAAGGTAAGAATGAGAGAAAGGCCAGTTATTAGTTGAGCATTTCAACGCAGGGAAAAACATCGGACATCTAAACTACGCTCTTCTGGCTAAGGCCGACGTGAATAGGAAAAGCCGGCGTTAGCCGAAAATCCCACTGATGCATGTTTCTGCGGATAGTGGAGCGTATGGGTGCTTATGCACTAGACCTCACCTACACTTAGGAGCTCGTGTTGACTGGAACCGTAGTCATCTACCTAAAACTCACAATTAATTGTAATGAGTTGATCGCAGTTATGCAGAACGGCGATCGACATATGTGCGAGGCAACCGCAGTGGGAGCTGACGAACTGAGCCAGGCTGATTGCAAAAATTCGCAGGTGTTCGACAGCGATCTGACCGCCATGCATGCGACAACGTGCACAGTTGTCGCTGCGCTACCACTACAACTTCAACGCAGCTCTGGACTCACAAAACAAGCGGAGAACTGGTTGTGAACAACAGCAAGGGAATGTAGGCAATGTTCGGAGCACATTAAGACATTTAAAAGGCTACATAAAGAAATACGGCGCAGTTTATCGACGGGGGGGGGCATTTTGCTTTCCATAGATGTGTCGACCCATCTAGGTAGCGTTTTCTTGAGTTGACACGTTTTGGATGGTGGCTAGACGATCCTGCTCCAGCTTTACAAGCGTTCACAAGTTTTACCAAAGTGAGATTTGCAAACCGGAGCAAGGGAAGCTGATAGTACAAAATGCCCCCCGTCGATAAACAGCGCCAAGAAATACAAATGTCTTAGCATGTATGTACACAATGTTTTCACAGAAACCTAGATAGATGTCTCACAGCAATTAAACATTATTATGAGTAGCTTCTTTGTGTCTTCTTATTCTTCTTATTCCATAAGAAGTTATTCTCTTCTCCTATGCTCCCGCTGATCATCGAGTTCCTCGAGCGGGCGCCAGTAACGAGTAACGTCTACATTCGTCCCTGCAAGTGACATCCCGTGAATCCAGTTGAGTGATTGCTCTGGCCTCCAGCGGTCGTCCTCGCAAGCGCATGACGTGTCGCAGCCCACCTTGATCATTCAAAAACTTGCGCAAATGCGGAGGCCATGATCTTCATCTTCGAATCGTTGGGGGGTGCGGGCAGAGGATTCCCTCTCTCACTTGCGTGTAGCGGGAAACTCCGAGCATCGCCCTTTCGATGGCGCGTTGAATAACACCGACCGCATGCTCATCCTGCTTTCGTAGAGTCCAAGTCTCTGAGCGTACGTCAAGGCAGGAAGGACCGCGGAATCGAAGAGTGGGCCACGGGACTTGGTGTTCTTCGTCTTCTTCGCTACTCCCTCGATGTTCTTGAAGGCTCCCCAAGCCGCTCGCTTCCTCCTGCTCAGCTCTGGAGCTAAGTCATTCATCATATTGATTTCACGACCTAGGTACACACAGCTAGAACGTTCAGAGGTGGTTGTTCCGTTGAGCGTGAATGGGCATCAGAAACCAATCCGTTTCTCATAAACATCGTCTTCGTCAGATTCAGCCGTAGACCGATTTTTCGCAAAGCGGAGATGGTGTAGTTGCCGACCGTCGATCTTCACTCCCATGTCATCCAATTCCAGTTGACGTATGACGTTCTCGAGAGAGCGCGGAAGGATGCGTTGGCGAGATTGTGGTTCGGCCCTGTCGCGGACCCCCTGTTCACAACATCGATGATGATCTCGCTTGTAGAAATTGGTGAGATCTTGGTCGTGAAGTTGCGTCAGTAGACTCACGAAGAGTGCCTGTATACGTGAGTGACGAATGACCCTGCGTTTGCCTCAGCTGGCTTCGTGACGAAGCTTCTGTCTCGACGGTAGTCCGAAGGCTTTCTTCAAGTCCGATCAAGGTGACTACATCAAACGCGCATCTTGTACTCTCGCGATACTTCAATGAGCTTCGTTACCGTGTGGATGTGATCGATCGTGCTGAATCCTCTTCGAAACCCTGCTTGCTCGCATGGCTGTCCTTCGTCTAGATTTCTGCCAATCCTGTTAAGGATGACTCGTGTGAAGAGTTTGTAGACTACAGACAGCAGGCACATTGGGCGATAATTGCCCAATGATCAGCGTCTCCCTTTTGAGCAGCAGCACAGGTCTTGCTGCGTTTTCCACGAGAGTGGGGAACCTTGCATTCCGGACAGGTATGGCGCGTGGAAGAGTCAGTCATCAATCTTTGACAAGGAACTGGGCGCGGAAGATGTTTCAGAATGTTCGGTCTGACTCCTCTCGGGGACGGGTCTGCCCTACCGAATCTCTTCACCGACGAGGCGATGCCCCGTGTCGGACTTCTCAAAGAGAGAGAACTGCAGGAACGACATATCCATCCTGTCCAAGCGGTATGGTTGCAGGTGGAGGTGGCTGTCAAAGAGATCCGAGTAGAAGTCGTGGACCTTCTCCATTGCCACCTTCTCCATTGCCCTTCTGGATGCGGTGATTGTTCCATCCGGACGTCGGAGGGCGGTCATCTTAGTCTTACAGTTGGCGAAGTCGCGGCGGGCGTTGCGTACGCTCTTCCCAGCCTCTGCGGCTTCCACCAGTACTGCTGCTCTTCTCTCCTTGAGGTCTTCCTTTATCGTATGTCAGCGTAGAGAGTAGGGCTTCTGGAACTGCGAGTTACCATGGATGGTATGGGTCGACATGATAAACTCAGACAGCCTTTCACCCTGCTCATTCCACTCCGTTCCGTGAGTTCCGATGTGAAGTTCTTCAGCCGTTCTTCTTGGTCCGATCTTAGCGTTGAAATCACCGACGATGACCTTGAAGAAGGTATGATCTTCCTTGTAGAACTTCTCCAATTCCATATAGAACGCTTCGAGCTCATCCTCGTCGTAGCTTGATGTTGGTGCGTAGGCGACGAAGATTGTCAAAGCTGGAGTTGAACCACATCTTCTCAATCGCAAACGTCCGATTCGGGTCGTCAGACTTTCGTACGAATCGATGTTCATGGCCAAGTGCGTGTTGACGAGGACGCCCACACCGCCAACGCCTCTGCTGTCGCATGTTCCGAGGAACAGTTCTTCTCCAGTCTCGTATACGGCGTGTAGCGGGCGATGCCTCCTCGTCTCGGTCAGTCCGATGACGTCGTACTTGATCTTCCTGGCTTGCAACATCAGATCCTCGATGTGAGCTTCCGATGCAAGCGTCCGTGCTTTGGAAGTATCATATCAGATCATCATCCTAGTCCTGGGCGGCTTGAATCCATCCCCATTGGCCTTGTGATTTTAGCCAGCCTACTCGCTCGCAGCGTCCCAGGCCGACGTCTCGCCCTGTGCGGTGTTCCCTCAGGTTCAGGGGAATGAGGCCGATAACTTTACTGTTTTCGGCGATACGTTCAGGGGAATGGAGGCCCTATAACTGATTACTTGGATTTCGGCCGATAAGAAAGCTCTAATACATGGCCTAGCTCGCCAGGCTCTGACGTGGCACCCTCCGCATTGGTACGTTTTTGGAACAGTCCAAACACGTTCACCCCCACGCCACGATGAGGCTGCGGATAGGGTTTGGGGGGGAAAAACTGCCAAGTTAAAAACGGACAGCATCTCATTAACAATTTTGGTTAGATAAACTTCCTGGATGCAACAGTTTAGTATTGACGTTCCGAATGGATTTCCCGAATTTGGAGTGGTCTTTGTATGGAGTTCCTGATGTACTCGGAAAGCAACTTTGAACAGGATGTATAATACATGTAGTTCGCTATGGCTTTGGAAAGAGCTATAAAATAGAGTCTCCCTCCCCCACAAGAAGCATAGAATGTCGAGAATACGGATAAATGGCTAGCTCCCACGTTTCGCTCTTATTGAGAAGTGGATGCTGGAAACATGTTCTACAGCAGCAGAACGGTAATAAAAAAATTTCCAGTAGCAAAAAGATGTGAAGTCGCCCACAAGTTGCTACAAAGTAAAGTATACTAGTCTATAGTTTCCGTACCCGAGGAATCGGATAGTGAAGGTCCCATCAATTCACATCGCAATGCAAGAAGCGGCTATTCTTCGCATGTCAGGGCATACACCTTACCTCGTGTTGATCTGAACCTGACCCAACTTCTGCTTCGAGGTTGGCAGCACGAAGGAAGTCGCCCGTTCGCAAGATCGGAAGAGAGAGGGTAATCGTCTTTTTGACAGGTCCCCATTCCAACAGCAGCATATCAGCTAATGCAAAAGGAAAAGCCGATCCCTTCAACTGAGGAAATACAAGAACTACAGGTGAATCAGTTTGAACCCTCTAAAACGAAACTGACAAAACAAGAAACTCTTCTACATATTGGAGAACACGCCGGTATGGACGGTTAAACACGTATACTGAAGAAGGTGACAGTACTAGTGGATTATGGTGCCGTTTCTTTACTGAAACCACGCTGGTAGAAGAACTCCATTTGCTGGCAATAGGTACTACTAACAGGGAGCGCCATCGCGTCGTAATAAATTTTCGCTAAATACGATTACCACCATGGGTCTTGATACGACCCACTCAATGTACGCTGCTGATCTGGTAGCAGACAGAAGACGTTATGCCAGCAAATAATCGTTTATCTGGGAGCAGATAAACGATTGACTGCTGGCAGATTCGTGCTGCACGAAGGCACCAGCACATATTGTTTATCTGCCATCAGATGAACTGAAGTGCTAGCGCCTTCATGTGGCATGAATGTGCCGTAGTTGAAAAAGTGAATTACCGAAAAAAAGGAAGGTCTACGGAAATGAGTGACGTAAAAAAGAGTCAGGACAGTAAAGGAAAAACTGTAAAGAATACGAACAAATGAGATCATTACGAATAAAGGATGTAGGAGATTGAGGATGAACTAAGGCACAAGAAACGGAAGCAAATAGGGGGAGTGCATGAGCTAGCACTCGAGTATCAATTGTTCACCGTCATCCAAAGTTGCAGCTAGAGCACGCTTGTGCCGTGGTATTGGAGCGAGCTATTTCACGGTACAAACTCATTTCCAAGTCAGGCACTCTGAGAGTACCCTTTGCTTGAACACCCATACCTTCTTTGAGAGTGGAGCTTCTGAAGAGCGGACAGCGCTGTGAAGTACTACTAGGTTGGGACTCATCAAATGAATTCAACGATTTTGAAAGACTTTTCTCCGGAACAACCCCCGTTGATGCCGTTGTGACGTTCCAGGGTAGCCTACGAATTTGTATCAAACAGCTATAACTTCCTCCATATGGGATCTTTTGTAAAACAGCGAGCAAAAGAAAAAGAAAGAAAACTTCTCTGCCTCCCCCTTCCCTGTGGATGAAAAATGAATAGCTATATAACGAGAAAACTTGAACATAGCTAATGTCGCACGGTTTCTGAAAGTTCTGTCAGATTCTTGAAGTACGAAAACGTCGCCCGCCTGGAATCAGTAGTAGAGTGGAGCCTGTAAGGGTTATTTCAAGAAATAGAGTGGCTGATGGAAGCACTTGTCGGAGCAGAATAGCGAGGGATCATGAGATGTGGTAAGCCGCCACCACGTTGATATTGGAGGGATCCCTGTACTGTAAGGGAAGGCAGAGCGGTGCGAAACTTTACTGCTTCGAGAATGCCTGCAGGAAAAAGCTTCCGACGCTAACGAAACACTGTTCAGTATGAAGAACAGATGCTCCGCTACCATATACAGCTGCGGAAAAAAAAACTTGGAACAAGCCGCAAAATCAGGTTTCAAACAGTTTTGAACTTTTATTCAAAACAGAACAAGGTAAGCAGCGGGAATTCAATAACAAAAAACTATTCAGTGCTCCGAATATGGTTTGCTTTCTACTGCGCTTGATTAGAGCCTCAATCACCGTGTGATCGTGATCCTGTACAGGAGCTTCAGTGGTATACACGGATATCCAACTTCAAATTCCCTAAAATGCATGGAACTGCTCACTCGTGTTAGAAGTGTTCTTCCTTTTTGATTCATGCTTCGAGTCATCTCGATGGGGCTCAGGTGAAGGCCAATTCTCTCCCACTTTGTCATCCCGATGTTGACCTGGGGTGCCGCAATTTAGGTCTTACGCTTTTCTGTTCGCTTGGGAACGTTTCTTCTGATCCGAAAACAGTTATCCCAGGCATGTCTATACCTACGATATTTCGGTACACATGTCAAGGAGAACCAAAAAATAATTTGATAAATAATCACGATTTTTTGCTTGTTCCAAGTTTTTCCCGCAGCTGTAAAACCCTCGTGGTTTTTGCGCGATATGACCCGTGCAAAGAGTTGTAGAGGGGGGGGGGAAGGTGACGCTATGAAAGTCAGCATTTCAGGGTGATACTAACCAACTATCGCCAGAGAGATGAGCAGTTCGGATATCTGGGGCGGGAGCCGATCTAGTCTCTCTCTCCGACCGCGCGGTGGTAAGTGACACCACTTGCCGCTACACTATCTCCAATTATCGAGCCATTTGTATTATTATATTAATACATGCTTTCTGAATGCTATGCGAGTTTGTGAGCTCAAAGGAAAATAAGTGAGTGGAAATGGATGAAATTGCCAATTTTTTGCTTCCTCCAAGTTTTTTTTGCCACTTCTGTATAAGCGTTTGATACCGTACTTTCTTTTAATCTCTTTAAGACGATCCCCACGCTCAAGCAATTCGTAGCGACTTTCCTTGTACAAGTAGTCTGGTTCCCACTCTCTAAGATTATCCCATTCCCACGGTCTCACATCAAATAAGGAAGGCGCTGTGATTCACAGAGGTGATCCTCCCCGTACTGCCCAAAGGAACTACTCAAAGGCTATTTCCTATCACGAGTTCAGTTTTTGCGCCGTGTTTCCCTGCTTGATTAATGAGCCATATCCGTTTGCTGGAATGAATCGAGTAGTTAGGAAAAATCGTCCAGAGAGACTGCAAGGGTCCTCGCTTGGGGTGTTTCCTACTTTTTTTTGGTCTTTTCTCCCCTGGAACGCTACCACTGATTTGAACTGAACGCCACCATCCACAATTTACAATCGTACGGCCTGTCTTCAAACCATCCAAATCACGGAGTTGCGAATATTTCAGGTCCACGAGGGCGTGGCCATGGGGGTGCTCTCATATTTTGGTCAAGATGAAGTCGGCTCGTAATTGGGTCTGAGTGGCTCGAAAACCAGTGATATTCCACAACCATTAAAGCTGTGGAAAAGCGGGATGCCTGGAAAGTGTACAGATCAGCGAATAGAATTAACTGGCTCTGTACAGGAGAGAGTGGAAAATCGTGAAAACTAACAGCAGCGCCCATGGACGACCGCGGGAGATGGATTGCTCAGTGAGTCGTTGAATATTTCCTTTGTAAGGTTTTTTCCTGTGGTAGCGTATACCAGTGGATATCATCAGTTTCCCTCGGTAACTCAACTAGATAAGCAATCAAAACCGAAGCAGCTGGAATTTCAGAGTACTGGCGAGTGGAGTTCTGCTAAACAGGTAAAACCGTTCAATATCCTCAACAAAGCAGCCTGATCGGTGTGCAATCTTCACAACTAGACGCATTCAAAGTAATGAATTTGATAGCTATCAGCCACCGTTGACGCAAATAATCTATTTTTCAAGAGGGGTGTCGGCATCGTAGTTGGAACTTATTCCACAAGTTTTGAGCTTGCGAGCTAGAACTCACATCCTGCAGCGTTCGTCCACGTCTTCTCATACACGTTCAGACCATCGTGACCTTTCTGCCCGCGGTCCACATGTGTCATCTGCGTAATAGTCACACGAGGGGACAGATCAGCTGGACGTCTGTAGCAATTTTTTCCTCGCAATCAAAGTCACATAACTTTCGTTCCAAAAGAACTATTCAGATAGCCTATGATTTTTTTATATACCTTCTGAGTTCGATACCATCAGCTGCAACCGTTCCGTCTCCAATGGGTGAGTAGTATAATCGACGCGGTTTGAGTGATTTAGGTAGCTGACTGGGATCTGTTATAATCTGCAAAACAATGAAGTACACGACTGTTTTGCTACAAAAAATTAGGATTAAAGCCTGTTCACAAGGATGCTGCACACTTACCACTCCTCACAAGTCCCACGCGCTGTGAGCTTACTACGAAAGACGGCGCAGTAGTCATAGTGAAAAAGAAAAGCAAAAAGCGCTTTCCGAAAAAGAACGTTTACGACGTCTGTAGGATCAACTTTCATATGGCTTTCTTTCTAGTCATTTCAATTTGCTTCTTTCCTTCCTTTTCTTTTCCTTTGTTTTTCTTTTCTGGGCTCATTTCTTATTCAGCTTGTTGCTAGGAGAGAAGGTTCACTGCTCCCTCTCTCGAAGTAGGATTTTTATAAAACCAGTCGGATCAGCCGGCTGCCACCAAGTGCTCCTCCTTTCTGTTCCACGGCCCGGCTTCGCCGGACCGACCTGGGCATTCTTCCCTTGAGCGAGCGAGAATGTGCCAAAGGAAAATGAGTTGAAAACAGCTCAACATCACTCATTATCTACCGACATCTGGTCCCCTTCTTTACTACAGAATTCCAACCGTGAGAAGGCTGCATATTATCAAGGACCGCAGTTGCGACAACAGAATGGGTAAAGTTGAATTAGTCCGGATGAGTCCTTAACAACCGGAAGAGGCATAACTGCAGAGTAATGGGTGGCACTGAAAAGGAGAACTCCACATTGCTTGTACATATAAAAGTTTGTGTCGCGCGGACACGGTGCTCGAATGACCACCGACAGGACGCTCCCACTCCCAGTTGTTGGGTTCCCTCCTTATTTTGCTTCAATTGCAACCGCCACCTCCTAACACATCACATAGGAGGCAGATTTGCGAAAATTTTTTTGATTGGTGAATTTCTCGATTTTCCCGTTTCAGCCGCACTATATACCCCCCCCCCGCTCGACAGCATTGCATGCATCTAAAAGCAAACACTTCATTGGACGACCTTGATTCTGTTGCCATCAAAGGAAAGGGTTCACACACTGAGCCTCTAATACTCGGCATTAAAGCGGTAAGAAGTGATAAAAATGTAGCGCAGATGGTATCTTATCTGTTTTTATCGATTGATAAGATTACCTGTCACCCGTCATCAATGTCCTCATCACCAAATCTCTATGATTTGGTAGCGTGAACCACCTTGAACAGCGACGACGACTGCAACTTCACTTATCAGTCTCTATCAGTAGTTATCGCTTCCAGTCACCCACGATTCATGTCCCCATCTCACCCTCTATATCACTTTCTGAGAAGTACGCATCGCTGATACTGTGACCTGCTCTATGATGACCTCACCATTCTAACGCCCCTTATCGCATCTT